TACCAAAATGGTCGCACGCGTTCAGCACCGGAGCCCGTGGACAGCTCCGTCCTGCCAGGCTCCCGCCCGCGCCAGCCCCTGCAGCCGGAAGCGAGGCGCGCAGCAGAGCTGGAGCTGCCTCCGCACGCGGGGCAGCCTGACTTACGAGCACAGCATTTCCTACGAGACCGCTGCCTCTGGGTGCATATTCAATTCAACCTCCTTAAACTGTCGGATCTCTGCCCACCCCACCCCTAGCCCCCACCCGCGCGCGCACACGCACACACACACACACACACACACACACACGCTCCACACAAGGGGAGGCAAAACCCCATGCCATCACTGCTTTCTGTTGATCAACTTACACCTTCGCCTCTGAGCGCGGCGGCTGCCCTGAGCCAGGCTCGCCTCAGCATTAAGTACCTTTGTTCATCGATTCTCGCAAGCCATGTTTGTGAGGCTCTACCTTCCTCTCTTCCCAGCCGTAATCACGGAGGGTGCTGGACCCTCCCCCCAGCGATCAGTGCCTCGGGAAACTGCCCCTCGCGATGTACAAATGTACAAAGGCAGGTCCCTCTCCCCGGCCTGGCGGTGCTGCGGGGCTGCGGGGGGAGGGAACGGAGAGCATCGAAACAATTAAGCCACGGGGCGCGGAGCTCGGGAGCTGCCCGCGGTTGCCAGATTCAGGGGGGAGGGAGGGACTGATATGGTCGGCGAGTGGGGAGACAGGAGATCCCTCCGTTAGGAATCTTGCTCGGATTGAGGGGTTCGCATGGGGGTGGTGATGGTGGTGGAGGGGGGATAGGAAATATTTATTCCTGTTCAAAGACTGCCTCGCTGCGATCTCGCCGCTCGCCACCTCCCCAAGCAAACTGACACAAATCCACCTCTAGAGAAGCGCTTACCCTTTCAATCCAAGGTTTCAAGCAGGACTCCAGCTGGGTGGAAAACCAGGGAGTCATCTGATGCGCGCTGGGGAAGAGGCTGTGGGCAGCGGCAAGCTGCTTTCTCTCCTGGTGCCTGACTGCTGTGTTACCAAGCCCTGCGAAGGGACCCCGGCGCCTCTGGCTGGCCGTGCCCCGCTGCCTTCACACCTCGGCGGCTGCTGGTGCTTTCCAAGTCCCCGGCGATCGCCTTTCAGCTGATGTGGGCTTCCAGAAACGGAGTCGGGGGGAGAAGAGAAAAAATCGCCTAATGCAATCAAATCGATCTGATCTACACCATCTGTCGCCTGCCACTACACACAAACGTTAAAATAGGAACACGGGAGACACTGACAGCTCGGGAAGGCTGGTCTGCAGAGTTCATTTTTAGCAGAGCATAATTGGGCATGGACAGCACACAGTTACCAAAGCTGCTGTTAACCATCCAGTAGTGGATCCCAAACATGCTAATGGTGGATTAATTGAGGAAGATCTGACGTGCAAGCTTCATAGTCTCTTATTCATGACTTCCCAACGGGAAAGGACCAATGCCGTGTGGGACTATGGTAACATACAGTCAAAAAGCTGCTAAGAAAATGGCTCTGTGTTCATAGCACCTCTCTCTGATAACAAACATATGTCGACCAGAACCGTTTAGCAGGATGGGGGAAATGAAATTTTTCTTGACCAAGGTTAGCAATTCCCATTGCTTGCACTGAAAGAAAAGTGGGGGCGGGGGGGGGGAGAAAAAAGGCTAAAGCAAATGTTGGTCTTGGGAGTCTCAGCTAGAAAAGCAGAACACTTCAGTTCAGCTGGGGGAGTAAAAAAAAATCTATCACTTCTTTTCACTGTGATCAAAGTACCTCCATTGCAAGTATCTAAAAATGCAGCTCTGCTAATTTCATCAGGACTGACGCAAGGTCGTTTTAATGCCAGGAACCCTTTTGACTTTTTCCAGTGGGAATGGCTTTTGGGCAAGACATTTCCGATCATTGAAATTTGACATAATCTCACTTAAATATGATTTTGAAGGGGAGCAGGTGGGGGTGAGGGCTGGAGGGGTACACATGTGTATGTGCTCACTTGTGTGTGCATGTGGGCAGTATATGTGCATGTGTCCTGTGTGTAGGGTCGTCCAGGTGGAGAGCGCGGGCACCGCTTGCCCCTTGCCCAGTCATTGGACATGAGGGCACGGCTGGAGGAGGCCATCCTGGGCACTGTGGGCGCCCGCCGGGAC